AGCCACGCAGTTTAAAACCAGAGGCTCTAATCCAAATCCAAACTCTTTCATCTAAACCAGTGGCCAGTGAGCCACAGCCCTGGGTCAAACGCAGCCTGTGGCCAGTGTTTGTAAATCAGGGTTTATTGGAATATGACCTTGCCCAGCTGTTTTTGTACAATCTGTGGCTTTGAACTGTACGGCAGAGTTGAGTAACCGTGACAGAGACCACATGGCCCGCAATGCCTAAAATGATGGCCACGGGACCCTTCACCGAAGCTTTGCCAGCCCGGGTCCTTGCTCTGCACATCCCTCAATTCCAGGTGTGGCCACAGCCAGGCCTTCCCCGCCTGGCGGACCGTGCATCTGGCGGCAGCGTGGCTTACCAATACAGCTGCCTAGAGCGTCCTGTATAAATCCGCTCTTGCACTGTAGCTTGGGTCTGCAGCGGAAGGATCCCAGAGTATTCTGACAGATAAAATCGGGGGGGCAGTTATGAATACCACTCTCACACTCGTCAATATCTGGTGCATCATAAAAAAAGGAGATTGTTAGCAAGAGTCCTGCCAGAGGCATCACACAACACTTCAACATCACAAGAAAACATTATCAAAAGTGCTCACTACTCAGACTACAACCCCAAACATTCCTACAGAGAGATCACAAACAAAAAGGGCCTCAGAGAGGCACAGAGTGCTCCCGCTGCTGAGGACTAAAAACGCAGCCTTTCTCGGCCACGGCCCTTGGGAGGCGAGGGCTGTATAAACACACAGCCCAGGCGTTTCCCTGGCAGATGGAGCCATCGTTACTCATCCAGATAAAGTGCATGTTTCTTTCATAAGGCAATTTTCTTAGTGCCAATAAACACAGCTTCTCTATATCTTATTCATTCTGAGGTGCTTAGAATGTTCCACATATTAAGAATGATCGCCTCGGGAAGGGGTGTCAGGGCTGCCCTGCCTCGCAGCTGGGACAGGTCAGATGTTCAGAGCTGGGCATCAGCTGGCCTGGCCCTGGGCTCTGGGGTCAGCCCATCGCTGGGCTGGGCAGCAGGCTTGGCAGCCTGAGCTGGCTCAAAGGCCCTCTGACACCCGGAGGGCGTGCCTGGCTTTGGAGTCACCCTCATAATTCAAAGATGGACGTTTTAATGCAAGTGGTGCCATCTTTCTGGAGGGCTTGAAGCCCCGTGCAGACCACTATGTTCTAAAAGGTCCTCATCATACACTCTCTGCCAATGGCAGGCAGGGAGACCAGCGGTCAGAAACGCCACGCTTTTACGCAGAGGAAGGGGTGATGCTCTGAGCGTCCAGGAAGCTGGAGCCAGAGGGAAGCCCGCTGTTGTGCAAACACTTGTTTTCTTAGGAGGGGGATGTTTGTTTTTGTAAAAAGCACCTGTGAGCACCTGAAATCCTTCTCTGTCTGGTTTAACTGACCAGCACTGAGCCTTTAAACCCAAGTGGGCCATCATCATGAATGTGGCACCAGCTCTTCCCCTCGCCCTGTGGCTCTCCTGTGGCTGAGGCGGCAGTAGCCCAGGCAGCCACACGGGGGCAGCACCACAGGGCCCAGACCAGTCCTGGGCCACCCACCCTCCCCTTAGCGCTCGGCCCCAGCTGGGGACAGGTTCCCAGGCCGTACCTTTGCAGTTATTGTCCTCTGTGAGCTCATAGCCAGTCCCGCAGCTGCTGTCCCGCTGACAGCGGAAAGAGCCCACGGTATTGATGCAGGATTCTCCCAGACGGCAGCTGTGGCTGCCTGTGATGCACTCATTGACATCTAGGAGAGATTCGGGGACATGAAGTAACCAGCAAGAACTTCGGATCCCTGCACTTCATCAGAGGAAAGTTCTAGAAGCCGGGGTGGAACTGGCTTCCTGCATCTATCAAACTGCCCAAACTGAGCTGGGTCCTGCCATGAGCACATCCCGCTGTGCCTCAGGATGCTGCCCTGACCAGCCCTCACCCAATCCAGCCCAAGGCTTCCCTGCCTTCCGACTGGCAGACCCAGGACTCTGAGTAAGTGCTGGGCCCTGGACTGGGGTCCGGCGGTCTCCATGAACCCCATGGAGGGGCAGCATCTCCCCATCTCCTAGCTGGGGAAAGGCCAAGGGAGGCTGAGGGACATGCCCAGGGCCACTCAGCCGGTCCCAGATCCAGAGCCAGGGTGGACCCAAAGCCAGGCCCTTTCTCAGCCCTGGGGGTCATATTCTTCTGACGAGAGTCTTGCCAGGAGCCACTGCCCTGCCTACTCTGGAGAGCCAGTCCAGGCTGTCTCCGCCCACCAAGGGGACCTGTCAACCCTGCTCAGACCTGGCACGGGCTCCAGGCAGAGCGGCGGGGTCTTACCTTCACAGGAGACACCGTCAGGCAGCAGCTGGTAGCCCACAAAGCAGGAGCAGACCACCTCGTCCCCGGTGTCCCGGCACTGCTGCTGGCAGGGCCCACCCCCTGCAATCAGAGCTGGCGTGAGCGGGGCCAGCCACGTCCAGAGGTCTCTGAAGCCACCCGCGGCCCCAGGGAGACCCCCAGACACTGGCTCTGGTCACCGCTGGGGTCTGACAAACCAGGCAGCCTCTGGAGTTACAGAGGAGCCGTGAGGGACAAGGCAGGGACGGGGTGCAGTTGCTGCCAGCCACAGACACTGAGGAAGCAGGCCTGTCCCAGATCCAGCAGCGGTGGGCCTCTGTGCTGCAGGTTCCCGGCTTCCCCGTGGATCCCGGAGCCACTCTGCCCCTCTCACTTCCTACAGGGCAGCCAGAGCGATGCTCAAGTGCAACCTCAGGGGCCGAAGCCTCTGCCCAGGGCCTGCAGGGTCCTGCCTGCTGCCCTTCACGTGCTGGTCATCATGCTAAGCCACTCTCAGCTGCTGCCAACGGGCTGTCCCCTCCCCCAGGAAGACCCTCCCCTCAGGCAGGATTCTTGGGGCTTCTGTCCCTCCCTCTCCTCCCCTCCCAGCCTCAGTGCTGCCTGTCACTGCACCCCGACCACATCATCTTGTCATGGCTCCCCAGTTAACACCTGACCACAGGGCCAGCTGCTGGGTGACCACGTGCAGCAGTCCTGCCAGGCCGGACATGCCCGGATGCTCACGAAAGAGCGAGAGTGTGACCCTGGGGAACAACCACCAAGGCCCTCTGGGTTTAAACACACCCACACTTCCCTGGGAGACAAGTCAATATGCCTGACAGCGAGGCTGGGGCTCAGGTCGGGAAGGCAAGAAACGCTTGGCCCCTCCCCGCGGTCTCCCGGCCTCTTGGACGCCAGCGGTCACCCTCTAAAGCCTGTGAGCTTGGGAATGTCTGGCACACACTGCAGAGAGGGGCCTTTCACACCAGTTGCAGTGGCCCCTGCCCCACCAGCCCCACCAGGCCAGCTCTGGAGAGTCCAGGGAAGCAGGAGGGCAGGCCCAGGGGCCTGGGTTCAAGGCTCCAGGGAACGGCCGTGGAGATCCGGGGCCTTACCTCGGCAGCGGTCATTCAGGTAGGGGTCTTCCTGTTCCTCCTCCGCCTCAGAGACCTTAGCTGAGGGGAAACAGAGACCAAGAGCGATTACCCAGAGTCCACCTTACCTTAGAAGGAACTTCCCATCAATGTCAACAGGACACCCACGCGTCCTCCTGAAAGCAGCAGAACGCTCATTCAGCCTCATGAAAACAGGATTTTCCTCATGAAGGCAGCTCACCTTCTCCAAGGTCTGTGACACAGAAGGGCCCAGGCACCAGGGAGGCCATCGCTAACTCCAGGCCCTCAGCTGGGACACGGTCTCCGCCTCCCCATAAGACCCCCAAGGCCCATGGCAGAGCATGTGGCCAGCGCCGGAACCGCCCTGCGGGCCCCAGCAGGCCTTCGCTGCCTCCAGCCCTGCTGCAGGCCACAGCGGCCTGCACACCCGTGGGGCCTGGGGGCGGGGTGTGTGTGTGCCTGGGGAGCACACAGTAGGCCCACCATAAACGTCAGCTTCAGGAAGGCCATGGTGAAGCCCCCTCAGAGGAGGTGCCACTGGAGAAAAGTCTGGGGCAGGGATCAAAGTGGATCCAAGACAAGAGAGGAAAACCCGGGAGCCACAGACTCCCAGAGAGGCCAAGGCAGGAGACAGGAATCACAGAAACCTCCGAGGAACTCTGCCCAGGACGAGGGCTGGGCTTGTTTACTGTAAAAGTCATCTCTGACTTCAAAAGCCCAGGAGGGAGCAGGAATGTGGTCCCGATTCCACATCAGAAGTCAGCTCAACAGTGACCGCAGCAGCCTCGACTTGAAAAACTAAGATCCAACGTGATTTATCAAGGCAGAGCCACGGGTCACAAAGCCAGAGGGCGAAGGCCTGACTGAGAGACCTGGGGGCGCTACCCTTTTATTTTTGTTTGTTTGGGTACTGGGGACTGAACCCAGGGTGCTCTGCACCACTCTAAGTTACATCCTGGCTCTTATTTTATTTTATTTTATTTTTTAATTTTTGGACAGGGTCTCACTAAGCTGCTGAGGGTCCCACAAAGTTGCTTAGACTGGCCTCAAACTTGCAATCCTCCTGCTCAGCCTCCCAAGTCTCTGGGATGACAGGTGTGCGCCACCATGCCCACCTGGCAGAGTGCTTCCCCCTTAACCCCTTCCTGTACCTTCCCCTTTTTCAACAGAAAGGGGCAGAGCCCAGAGAGGGCTGGGAACAGACAAAGACCCAGGCGTGGGCAGGGCAGATAGGGTGCCTCTCAGGGTACTCCACTCTGGCACTGGAGGCCACCGGGCAAGCAGGAGAGGTCGCCAGACACCGGGAAGTCTCCTACAGAGTGGAGCTCAGGACAGACAGAGGGGAGGGAGGGCAGGGCTGGTCACCCGCTGAAGCCTCCGGAAGCTGCCTCTGGACGTGCCCCTTGCTGAGGAAGCGTCTGTCCTTTGAAAGAGGCACCTGCAGCCTCTGGCCACACACCCTGGGCTCCAGAGGGAGAGGGGGCTCCCACAGGCCAAGTCTCTGCTCTGTGTGCTGGCCATGACCCTGAGCACCAGCTGCACATCCCAGAAACAGAGCGGGGGCAGCCAGAGCTGTAGGCGGGGTGGAACCCTGAGGGGGCACGGTGTTCCACTCTCCACCCTTCCAGCACCTCCCGCAAGTCCATTCCCACATGCCCTCGGCACCCGTCAGGGACGCCGGAATCCACGGATGCTCAAGTCCCTTACATGACATGGTGCAGGATCTGCTCATGACCTACATGTACCCTCCGTAGGCTCACTTACTTTTTTTGTTTGTTTGTTTTTGTACCTGGGATTGAACACCAGGGCACTTCCCCACTGAGCCACATCCCCAGCCCCAATATATGTATACACATATACATAGATGCTAAGTGAAGTATGCCAATGCCAAAGACCAAAGGCTAAATACATATGTGATTTAGAGACAGGGTCTTACTAAATTGCTCAGGGCCTTGCTAAATTGCTGAGGCTGGCTTTGAACTTGCAATCCTCCTGCCCCAGCCTCCTGAGCTGCTGGGATTACAGGCGTGCACTACCGTACCTACCTTACTTTTGACATCTAGAACAACACAAATTCTTTTCTTTCTTTTTTATTTTTGTACAAGCACTTGCTACATTGTAACTTCAATGTAGAAGAGTGGGGAGAATATTCTTCTTACTAAGTGGTAGTGAGTTGATGCTTAACTCTTTAAAAATTGTGACTTCACCCCACTTTATACCTGAGAAATCATAAACTCGGTGAGGGTTGTTGGTTTATTGTTACTCTTATTATTATTTTATATACATATACACAACGAAATATTTTCTGTTTGTTCTTTTTGTGTACACATGACCCAGAGTGTTTTTTTTGACATAGATCCATGGAGTATAACTTCCCATTCTTGTTGTACATGACGTGGAGTTAGTTAACTGGTCGGTCGTGTATTCATATATGAACATGGGAAAGTCATGACCTGTTCAATCTACTCTCTTTCCTCTTTCCACCCCCCTCCCTTCCCGTTTGTCTAATCCAATGAACTTCTATTCTTCCCTCCCCCACTTGTTGTGGGTTAGCATCCACAAATCAGAGAGAATATTCAGCCTTTGGTTTGGGGGGACTGGCTTATTTCATTTGGCATGGTAGTCTCCAGTTCCATCCACTTATGAGCAAATGCCATAATTTCATCTTTCCTTATGGCTGAGAAATATTCCATAGTGAACACAGACCACATTTTCTTTATCCATTCGTCTGTTGAAGCGCACTTAGTGGGTTCCATGGCTTGGCTATTGTGAACTGAGCTGCTGCAGACATTGCTGTGGCTGTGAGCATACAACACAGATTCTGAGTACACAGTTGTTAGGCGTGGGGAAAAGTCTGCACATGCTCAGTGCAGATGCAATTTTTTCCTCCCATGTTTTTGATTTGTGGTTGGTTGAATCCATGAATGTCACAACCATGGACAGAGAGGGCCAACCTTGCTTATGTACACAGACACACCCCAGAGAACCTTGACCAGTGCACTGCCCAAGAGGGAAGAGGAGGGATTACCTGTGTCTTGGAGGTCCCCCACATCCCCGGGGGGGAAGTCCGCGGTCTCCTGTCCCTTGACACAGCATGCCCGGAACACCATCCCACACTGGTAGCCGATCATGAGGCTGGGCTCGCAGCTCTGGGCCCGGGCCTGGGCCACCCGCCCCAGCACACAGCAGTGGCAGCATCTCTGAAAACAGCAGAACTCAGACAGGCCCACTCAGGGTCCCACAGAGACCCAGGGGACGCCTCTCGGATTCCCCTGGTCTTCAGCATGAACAGCGGGTGGGGGGCACGTCTGACTTAGCCACTAGGTGCTTCTCCGAAATTCCACGGTACACAGCGAAGCCACCAGGTCCCCAGCTCTCCTGATCAGCTTTGGAAGGGGACCTGCAGTGCCCGGCCCCCAGCACAAGTCCTGCCTCCCCTCCCAACCCTGCTAAGGACGGCCCTCTCACCCTCCCTGCAGAGCCACCCCACCGCCCACCGCTCCAGGGAGAGGGAGCCCACAGAGCCCTGGATGCTGGTGGTTTGTGGTCCAAGATGTCTCCACTGCGCCTGGAAGGAACGCACTCCGCCCTCCAGGCTCCCGGGGGTCCAGGCTGTGCTTTGAAAGCACAAGAACCTTAAGGCACCAGCAAGGCAGGGGACAGGGTTACGGCCTGCAGGTGGCACCAGCGGAGCCCAGCCCTGCCAGGAGGCAGCCATGGACACCCAGGTCCTGCTGCCAGGACCTTGACCAGGCCACGCGCCCCCCCCCCCCCCAGCTCCCTCACTGCAGCGCCTCCCCCGGCCAACACCCTCAGGGGCCTGGGGGTCCGTGCCCCCAGGGTCTCCCTCTATGGCCCATCTGTGTGCGGGGCCCCCCAGGAAGGAGCCCATGTGACACCTCCAGGAATCCCCCCTTGCCTCCTGGTGGGGACTCCACTCTTTGGTACCTTCTCAGCCTCCAAACCTGGCCTCCTCCTGCCCGGCTTGTTTTCCCTCCCTCAGCAGAAGTAAGGGAGGGGCCGAGTGGCTCTGGGGTCTTCCCACATCACTAGGTGGCCCTCAGTGACCTGGTCTGGAGGTGGGGTCCCAGCAGCCCTCGGGGAGAGGGATTCCGCCAGTGATTCCTGCTTCACCTTCAGGGTGGGAGCCAGCCTGGCCCCCTGACAGGGCTGCTGAGAGGCCACTTAGGAGTGGGGGCCTCTCTGAACTTCAGTTTTTTCCTCCAGGGTGGTCATAAAAGTCATGTGTTATCAGAGGCCCTTATAAGGGCCCATTCTGAGCTCTAAGCCCAACTAGCCTGAGGCACACAGAAGCCTGAGGTCCTCCTGAACATTGTTGGGGGACCCACAAGGAACTGAGCAGAGAACTCGGGGCCCTGGACGGCCCCTGCTCTGACCTTTGCACTGTGTCTGAGGCCTGGGCAGGGTGTGCAGGGCCTCCCCGTGTTCCTAGGGGGGCTGCACCCTCAGCCTCTCATCCCTTAGCCAGCTTGGAGGTTGGTAGGTGAGCTCTACCCACCACCTGCAGTGGCCTTGCCCTTCCTGGCCCAGGCAGCCAGGGGGCGGGCAGGGGAGTGGTGTGATGGACAGTGCTGCTCATGGGGGCCCTGGCCTGTGGCCGTCACGGGTGGCGGTGGCCCCATGTGGTCCCCAGGTCCTCACCTTCATAAACACGGCCTCGAGGCTGGCGTTGTCACCACGCGGCGGGACACAGGCGTCCTGGTCGCTGGCCAGGTTGATGCCCGCGGCACAGTGCAGCTCCTCCAGCTGGCTGTGGCAGCACTGCTCCTGGACCATCCTGGGGGCAGAGGGCAGGGCTGGACGGGTCTGCAGTGGCCCACGGCCTGTCACAGGGCTCTGTCCTCCACGGCTTCCCCTCCCCCAGCTCCCAGGACAGACACACAGCCCTCGGTATACAGAAGGTGCCCAATAAGTGTGTAGTTAGAAAGACTGCAGGGTGGTATGTGGGCTGAGTCGGGACCCCGAGTTGTGACCCAGAGGGAAGAGTCCGCTCTGAGCCTCGCCCCTCCCACAGGACGTCCCCGTGTTTAAGACACAGCCCCGGGGCTGCCGATGCCGGCCCACCGCGTCCTGCGCCACACTGAGTTCTCAGCACTCACGCCCCCCGTCCAGGCTCACAGGGACAAGCCAGAGAGCTAAAGGCTGCAACGGTGGCTCCCGGTGTGGCCCCAGCTCTGCCATGCCTCTCGGGTATGGAGGGCTCGGGGAGGGAGGAGGACGTGACCTGCCAGGGTCAGTTCCTCAGACAGCCAGGGGACCAGGGACCAGAGAGCTGGCCCACAGGCAGCAAGCAGGAGGTGTGTGCACCGTGGGCGACGCCCGTCCAGACCTGAAATGACCCCAGCTCCCGCCACAGTCAGCAAGGGCAGGAGAATCACCCACTGCATCTGGCAGAGAGGGCGGGGCTCACAGCCTCCCCGTGCAGCCTCTGCCCCCGACACAGCCCCCACCTTCCCGACCCCCCACCACCCTGGAGGAACCCAAGTCTACACCAGCCTCCCCCCCCCGGCTCACGACTCCCCTGGCTTAGAGTGGATCTGTCTACACTGAGCAGTTACACACCGTGCCCAGGCTCACAGCGGGTGAGCAGATGACAGGCATTTCACTGAACTGCCGGCGCTGTCCTTGCCCTTACCAGATCCACACATTCCACACATTCATTCAAAACCTTTTTGCTAAACAGAGAGTCACAAATGCTGGAGCAGAGTGGAGAAGCGAGCCCTCACGCTCCGCTCACGGCAATGGAAATGGGGCAGCCATTTGGGAAACAGCATGCGGTTCCTCAAAACATTAACAATAGAATCAGGACCCAGCGCCCCTGCTCCTAGGTGTGTGCCCCAGAGACTCCAGAGCAGGGTCTGAAAGAGGTGCCTGCCCACAGCGCTCACGACAGGCCGGCCATCTGTCTGCATTCGGCCTTGAGAAGAAGGGAACCTTGACACCACACCAAGGAACACGAGCAGCCACAGAGGGACGAGGCCGTGTGACCCCACCGACATGAGTCCTGGAGTGGCTAAGTTCACGACAGAAGACAGAGGGGGTCGCGGGGGCTGGGGCAGAGCAGGAGGAAGGGCAGTGAGCACTTAATGGGGTCAGAGTTCCGCCTCTGCTGGACGAAGAGCCCGGGAGGCAGGCGCTGACGCGCTGGCTGGCCATCGTGGGTGGCTAACTGCCACCGGAGCGCACACCCAGACTAAGGAGAGTGCCTCTCGGGTCGCGTGCTTTTTACCACTGTTTAAAAACAACTGCGGCCCAAGTTCGATCCTCAGCACCACATACAAACAAAGATGTTGTGTCCGCCGAAAACTAAAAAAAATAAATATTAAAAAAAAAAAAAACAAAAAAAAAACAACTGGCTGCGGCCCCTCTGGCCTGCTGGTTGGCGGTGCAGGCTCCAGGTACTTGAAAGCCTTGGCCTAGGGGGACGGTTCCTCTCCAGCCCTGGGGGGTAGCGGGTGCTAGACCCTGTCCTGAGGGGAAGGAGCCAGGGCGGCCATCTGGAGGGCTGGCTGCAAGTCCTGCTCTCCTCTGGCTGCGTCCTGGACAAGGAGTCCAGCCCCGGAAGGCTTTCCTCGCCTGCAGGGTCAGGCAATGCCACCTCCCTCAGCCAGCCGTGTCACCGTGGCCCTGGAGCCCTGGGGCACAGCAGTGGCCTGGAGGTTAAAGCCTCACCCAACGTCACGGCTGCCTTTGTCCGACTGGCCCTGGCATTTGAGTGGCTGGCAAAGGCCATGTCAAGAGTCAGCCCAGAGCACCTGGCTGCCGTCCCCACCCACCTTCACTTCCTGGGTGGGTGACCTTGGGCTGATGGTGGTCCTCGTGCACGTTGAAGGGTCTTGGCTGAAGGGCACCGGGAGGGGAGCACAGCTGTCCAGCTGCAGCCCCCTCTTCCGGGACTGCCAAGGGAACCAGTTTGCAACCAAAGAACCAGAGTTTCTAGGTGCCATTCTGGGGAGAGTCACGAAGCTGGTCACTCTACCCTGCCCTGGCAGACCCTCTGTCATCTGCCCCACACGCTCTCCCTGGCTAGACTTGCCAAGCACGTCCTGGTCCTGGGGCGCAGGGGCGGGTTGTTTGTTTTGGTAGTTGTTGTTTTGTGACTGAGGGTTAAACCCAGGGGCACTTAACCACTGAGCCACATCCCCAGCCCTTTTTATATTTTATTCAGAGACAGGCCCTCACTAAGTTGCTGAGCCTGGCTTCGCACTTGTGATCCTCCTGTCTCAGCTGCCCGAGTGGCTGGGGTGACAGGCTGCATCTCTGCACTCGGCTCATGGTGGGTTTGTGAGGGGCCTGTCCACCCTAAAGAGGCCTGAGGGGAGGACTCACTGGCCCCACATAGGAGGACCCCAGGGCCTCCACCTCACCTTCCTGCCAACCCACCAGCCTCTCATGCCACCTGCATGCAGGTGGGGGTTCCTTTCTGTGCCCTCCAGCTCCTGACCAGGCTCCCAGAGGCCCCCTTGGATCTCCTCTTAGATGTCCAAGGGCACCCTAAACCCATGTGCCCCCTAAACAAATGTGCCCATCCCAGCACCCCAGCTGCCTCTCCAGTGCCCCTTCTCACCCAAACTGCCTGCCCAGCCCCTCATAGCCGGGCCCTGGACGGAGCCTAAGGCCACCTCTGCATCCCACTCCACTCAGTAAGGACAACCTGGCGGCCTGCCTCCCGGTCTCGCCCACAGCCAGCCAAGTCTCTCCACTCTCTCCGGGCTCTCACCCAGCTCCAAACCACCAGCACCTCCCGGGATGGTCAAAACAGTCAATTAGGGCCTGGGCTTCCATCTTCCTCCCTCCCCCTCCTCCCAGGCAGGGTCCCTTCTAAAGGCAAGTTCAGACAGATAAGCGCCCACTTATCCCTGCTCAGAACCTTCCACCAGCTCTCAGCCACTTCAGGCAGCCTCCGCAATGGCCACCAGGCCTGGGACACCCACCCTGCAGCACCCTGGCCAGCCTGGATTCCTCCTGAGCTCCTGTCCTTCTGCCCAGTCCAGGCACCACTCACTGTGCACTCGGCTGGCTCTCGCCTCCCTCCCGGCTGGCAGCTCTCAGGGTAGACCTGCCCTGAGCAGATGACCCCACTCCCTCCCCGGGATCTTCTTCCCCACGTGGCACACACGACCCTCTTACAAACCCAACGTGCATTGGCCATCCCAAGGTGAGTGGTGGCATGTTCTAGAAGGCAGCTCCTGAGGCCTGGCCTCCTCGTCCCCTGACCTGCCCCATGACCCTGGTGAAGCACACAGGCTGCTGGAGACGCCGGCTCAGAGACAGCCGAGCGGGCTCCTCGTGGGCCACGTTCCTCCAAGAGGATGAAGACTCGAGGCTGAAGTCCAGCCCAAGGTTTTAGGGGATCTGGATGGGGATCTAAGGAATGTCGGGCCTGATGAGGGCCCAGTGAATGGAGGAAGCCTCAGAGCCAGCATCACCGCCCACCCCGCACCCGGCACTGCTGGAGCTTCAGGTGGCCTGACCCCTGCCAGCCTTGCTGAGCCCCCTGCCCACCCAGGAGAGCCAACCCTGAGAGCCCTGGTTGCCCCCACCCTCAACTCCTGCCCAGGAGGCCCGGCAGGGGGCTCAGCGCCCCCCACCTGAGCTTAGAACAGCACCAGGGTCACAAGGACCGAAGGGCTAAAGGAACGAAAGTGGAGATTTACTGAAACTGTGAGTCCCATAGGTGGCTCAGCCCCTGCCTGTGACTCCTGGGACGAGCCAACCGGCCTCAGTAAAGCAAAGGGCCAGTCATCGGCATTCGATGACATTGACTGGTGTCCTGGGTGCTCAGTCACACATCCTGGGGACACTGTGATCTGGAAACCCACACAACCCTGCCGGAATTTTCCACGGCCCTGAGAGGAGAGGAGGAGACAGAGACGGGCGGAGGGTCAACGGGGGGAGGGGGGGGGCAGCCCCACCTCCTGGGGAGAACTGTCCTCTCTGAGGTTAGGGATCAGGAACCTTCTAGTGGGGGTGGGAGGTGCCCTGCTGGGGTGAGGTCAAGAACAACTGCTGTCTGCTCTCTGCAAGGAGCCTGATGCCTGTTGGGCCCCTGTCCTCGGGCAGTGTCACAGAGACTGGCCCTCCCACACGTGGCTTGGTTCCGCTGGTTTCAGGCATCACCTGCCATCATCTTACCAACCTGAGGGAGAAGTGCACTGGGGGAAACCGAGGATCCAGGCTGGCTCAGCTCTCACCTCCGCCCTTGGCCTTCCCAGGGCCAGGCTGCCTTGGGCCAGCGCAGCCCGTAAGCAGAACCCTTTGGCGCTGAACACCCACTCGACTACACAACCACCAGCAGCCGCGGTGCTAAGCACCCTGCCAGCCAAGCTCGCTTGCAGGCTCTGCGCAGTGACGGGTGGCTTCCGGTCACTCCACCCCTCTGAGGCCCCTGCCCTCTCTTCCTTTGTTTGGCCTTTCATGCTTTTGACTTGTCAAGAGTCTCCTGGGTCAGGATCTACATCACCGGTCACCACTGGCAGGCACAGCGCACTCAATGCCAGCACAAAGGCAAAGCTGCCCAGGAGGCAAAAGAGATGTCCCTGTGCATCCTCCTGTGACAGCCGTCCAACCAGCATGCACGGTGCCCAGGGCCAAGGCAGCACAGAGTCAGACTAGAGGCAGAGAAAACAAAGGGGCAGCCAACCCCGGAAGCCTTCCTCCACCTCCCTGCCACGTGCTCCTGGGCCAGCAGGCATGGCTCGGAGCCAGCATCACCGTTTACCAGCTGTGCACACGGGGATGTCCGTTTCCTTGTCTATAACGTGGATTAATAACAAGGTGACACAACACGGTGTATGTCAAATGCACAGCACACAGTAGGTGCTCTGAAAAGCTTGCTATTCTTTTCATGATATGATCAACATGACCTATTCCATCATTTATTCTAAATGTATATTATCCCAAACTTTGAGGATGCTTGAGTCAACTTAGGGAGAGAAGACAGTCAGCCCAGATGCCGGCTGTGGAGTGTGGTGGACCACTGTCTGTGGGACTCCTGCTTAGGGCCTGGCCTCTGAGCCTTCAGGTGTCCACGGGAAAAGCATGTCCAGTTCCACAATCTCACTGACCCCCAGAACAAAACGCTCTTTTCTTTGGAAGAAACAGACTCGCCCACAGCTGCCCAGATGGGACATGCTGGGCTGCAAACCCCAACCTATTTGCTTCCAGCCCTGGGAAGGGATCAGATGTCCCCACATACACAGGGGGGCCCAGAAGGGAGAGCAGGGTCCTGTGTGAGGCCTTCGGGTGCAGAGGAAGGAGCGGGGAAGGGAGGGGGACGCAGATGCAGCCCAGCTGGCCTGCTGGTGAGTCCTGCCTGTCCCTGGGGGTCCTTCCTCCCCCATTTCTCCCTAAAGAAACACTGTTCGGATCAGAAGGTGGCCACGGGCAAACACACCTGCACTCCTTAGACTCCGAGGCGTAAGGCAGCGAGCAGTCTCGGTGCTGAGTGGCCATCCGATGTCCATCTGCACAGCAAGCCTCCATGGGGACATCTGCGCCCACTGTGAGGGAGAGGACAGCAGGCGGGTGAATTGCCATGCATTGCCCACCCCCCAGGCGCACCAGCAGGACAGCTGCTTCCCCAGCCCTGACCAGAACATCTGGCCAGGGATGGAAGGGCAGCGGGCACAAACGGCACTTCCCTTAGTCACTCTGCAGACGAGGACTGAGAACTCCATGACCCCAGGAAGCAGCCTGCTCCCCGCAATTCTGATGGGGTACAGCTCAGCACCCCTGCCCCAGCCACCCATCAGGGATGGGTCAGGGTCGCTGCCTGTATGAGCTAGAGGGCCCTGTCCAGCCGTGCGTGGGAAGCGCCCAGGCACAACCAGCCCGAGTCCCCGCAGGGGGTGCGGAGAGGGGTCTCGAAGGCAGGAAGAGGGGTTGGCAGTGAAATCACGCTGGTAATGGCCTGCACCCTCGTTTGCCACAAACCCTCTGTGAAGACAGAGCACAGCCACCTGGCTGAGCAGCCGGCCCTCAGCACCAGGCTGAGCTGGGCGCCCAGGTCCTCTGCCAGCCCAGGCTGTGGCCCCAGGGCCCTCTGCTCAGAACCTGGGCCCTCCCCTCCTGGGAAGAAGACCCTGCCAGGCCCCTGGGAGGCACAGCGGGGTCTCAAGGTGCCACACCCTTTGCTCTCAACCTAAGGGTCAGCAGGCCAAGAAGGACAAGTGCCCAAGGCCTCCACTGCCAGGCAGAGGCCACCTCCCAGCAGGACACTGCAGACGGGCTCAGGAAACACCAGGCTTCCTCACCATCAGCTTTCCAAGGCCCTGGGGAAAAGTGCCCGCAGGCTGGACGGCTGGGGCCTGCTGAGCCCTCCGCTCTTCAAGGCCGGCTCTCGCCCACAGGAAGTGGCCCACAGGAAGTGGCCCACAGGAAGTGGCCCACAGGAAGTCTTGCTCTTGTGTGAAACCAAGACTTCCCTGACTATGTACCCTCGGCCACCACAAGTCCTGGACTCCCTGTCCCCTCTCAGAGGCGTGGCCAGCGCACACAGGAGCTGAGGCTCAGCAGGGCCACTCCACAAGGCCAGGAGCAGGGTCCTCACACCCCTATGACTACTGCAGGGGTTGCCCTTCCCCCCAGGGCTTCGGGAAGACTGAGCAGCTCTCTGCAGTGAAAGAAGTCCCCACCCATTCCTGTAACCCCGCGCTCCCCTGGGCTGGCCGGGTGGTCAAGGACGGAAGCCTGCCTCCGCGGCCCCACAGCCCACCCCCCAAGCTGTCCCTCCATCGTCCCTGATGGTGCTGTCTGGTGAACAGGGAACACTCATAACAGGCTGCTCTCATCATGGGCTGGAGTCACAGGCCTCAGAGCACCAAAGCCAGAGGACTGTCACAAGGGAGGCCTGCCATGGTGGGACCAGCCACTGGGCTCCTGTTCGCCTAGTTGCTCAGGCTCTCGTTCCAGTACATTGTTTAAAAACAGCATTCACAAAACTCAGGACCTCACGAGTAGAGGAGAGCTGTGGTTCAAGCCCCACATGATGGTGACGTGCCTGCAGGGGGCTGACGGCAAAGCTGCCCTGCCCACGTGGCCATCACCCCGGCACCTGGTCACCCCACACTCCAGCCCTCAGCCCTGCCTGCAGCCTCAGCCCTCGACTCCTCTCACAGACTGCTCACCCACCCCGCCTGACGCAGGGCCCCGGCTCCCGCCTGGCCACCCTGGCCACCCTCACACCACCAGCCTCTGACCTTCTGACTGTCAGCTTCACCAAGCCAGCCAGAGGTCCTGGGGTGTGGCCGTCCCTGTTCCCCTAGCCCTCGGCACAGAAGTGGGTGCATGGCAAACAGAGCCCAGCAGAAAGGGCCGAAGCTTTGGAGCCAGAGGGCTGGGCCCCAGAGCCAGCTCTAGCACCTTCTGTGACCCCGCCAGGCTCCTGCACCTGAAGCCACAGGCTTCTCAGTGCTAGAGTGGATCGCAAGAACTTGCTGGGTGGCCGAGGAGGTGGACAAACTTTATCAAGTTCCAAACACAGAGTAAGTTCTCCGTAACAGGAGCTCGATCACAGGTGACATGATTGACAGGGACTGACTACTCACTGTCACCCCTGAGAATGCGGGAGGCACAGCCGGTGTCAGAGTGTGGAACCCCATGGAAGAGCCGCAGCCCTCAGGCTCCCTTAGATGCAGAAAAGCAATACCAAGGACCTACAGATGCCTGTCCCCCTCAGCAGGGCAGGAACTCGGCAGCCGGAGCTGCGGAGAGGAGTCCTGTCAGGGAGCCCCGGAAACAGGGCACCTCATTCTCAGGACAATCAGATGCCAAGCCCTTCAGTCCACCAGGAAACTCGGAATGTCCCCGGGATGCAGTTTCAATGTCCTGAGCAGCCCCAGGGCTGGAACTCGGGCCTAGGGGGGTAATGTAAGGGCCCTGGCCTGGGGACAGGCCTGGGGATCAGCCTCTGCCACCCAGACCCTAGGGGCATGGGAATCAGCTCAGCCTCCTCAGAGACCAGGAAGAACCAAGAAGAGACTACTGCTGGGCTGGACAGCAACGACACAGTGTGGACAGGACACAGGAGGGCATTCCTGTCCTTGTTGTAACCAACAATCCCCAAACCGCAAGGCCCTGGCCCGTGAGCGGCCCTGCAGAGAAGGCCTCTTCCTGTGCCTGCTCCCCTCCCCAGCCCTGAAACTCATCTTGTGGTGAGTGGTCAGTCACACTGTTGAGAAGTAGCCCGGGGCCGCACTCATTTCCCTGCCCAGGGCTGGGGGCACTTCCGATTTTTGACTCCCAGGAAGGAGTGAAAAACCGCGGACACTGATTTAAATCTTTTCCCCTAAAGTCACAGAGCCCGGGGAGCGGAGCGGGTAGGGAGGAATGCTTTCTGTCCCCCGGTCCTTGAAAGCAGGCTTCCAGGTACCCCCCGCAGCTGTGAGTGGAAATCTTAGGGTGTCCAGTGGGGACCTGTGGCCTGCAGGGGCCTACGGGACTCCAGGGAGCGGGACTGGCCTGGCTCGTGGCTCCTGGTCAAGGCTGAGGCACCTGCCTGGGACCTGCTGGGAGCCCCAGCCCAAGCTGAGAGGGGTCCGCAGGGAGAACGCTCCTCTGGAAGGACCGCCGCTGCTCTGGGGACAGGACAGCGGGGCAGTGAGCACTCTCAGGACAGAGAGGTCTGAGTCCCCCCGCCCCCTTTCTGGGCAGATTCCCCTGCGCCTGAACCTCAGCCACACCCTTCTGGGAAGCGGGGTTTGCGCGGCCACTGAAGGTCACTGGGTGCACTTCCTTCCTTCCCCTTCACAGCCCACTGCTCTCTTCCACAATGCGTACCCGTGGGCACCCTGCCGCCAAGCTGTCACCTCAGGGACTTCTTGGAGCCCAAACTTCAAGCAGAACTGAGAACAGAGGCTGAATGAAGTGACCAGTGACGTGGACTAGTGAGCACCGGCCCAAGCCAGTGTGTAGCCACCTCTGCCCAGCGCTCAGCGGGCACTGCACATGAGTCCCTGGCACTCTCCGGCTCCGGGGCCTGGGCTCCAGCGTCAGCCTTGTTCCGGCAGCCTCCAAAGCTCCTCTGTCCTGCAGCCCCTGAATTCAGACCTCCTCGCGGCCAGGGAGGGCACCTCCTCCTCCCACTGTGGCCAGGGAGGGCATCCTCCTCCTCCCACTGTGGCCAGGGAGGGCACCTTCTCCTCCCACTGTGGCCAGGGAGGGCACCTCCTCCTCCCACTGTGGCCAGGGAGGGCACCT